GAGAGAAAGAAAAAGAGAGACAGAGATGTTATTATTTATATAAAAATGATGCCATGTCCACAACATAGCTTATATGAAAGAGTTTATTCAGGGGAATGGAGGTGGAAGAGAGTTAGAGCCTGACTGTGCCATGAGGGCAGAGAGAGAGAGAGAAGGGTAGAGGTCCTGGCCCCTGGTGTGGTGACCAATGATGATATCACAGATGATTAAGCAACCTAGAAGTGGGCTAGTGCATTGACTTGTAAACAGTGGATACATGGGAAGAGTTGAAAGGAGGAAAGGGAAGGGGAAAATGACATATTTTAAGTTCAAACTATTAAGTGGTCCAGAGAGATGGACCAGGGCTTAAGATTACTGCATGTTTTTAGGGAAGCCAGGATCAGTCACCAGCACCCACATGGTAGCTAGCTCTATATAACCATATATATAACCATATAACCATCTATAACTGCAGTTCTAGAGGACCAGATGCCCTATTTTCACATGGTTCATAAATATGCTGAAAGACTAAAGAATTAAAACTTAGTTTTGCTTGTTTTTTTTTTTTTTTTTTTTTTTTTTTTTTTTTTTTTGGTGTTGGTTCAAAGTGTAAAGCATGAACCTAAACAAAAGCCAGACGGTGGAGACATGTCTAGCCACCTGTGTGGAAGAACCAGCCTTACTGCATTCCTTTCCTGCCCACTAGAGATACAATTGCTAGGAAGCAGGCCCAGATGACCCTCTCCACTAGGACAGCCAAACAAGGGAAGCCAGACCATTAATGGTTTGGAAACCTTCCTATAGCCAATCAGTTCAAAATGCAACATCCCCTTTTGTGTTTCAACTAATAGATGCTTGCCAGGCAGAAATTCCCCTGCTTTGGGCACACTAAGGGGGATCAGAATCTTTAAATTAATCACCTAATGTGAGCACAAGGCTCTTTGCTCTCAACCACTCTGGCAGTGAGGGTATGAACCCAAGCTAGCTTGTACATAAAAAGATCCTCATGTGTTCTGCAATGAATTCAACTCCTGCTGGTCTTTTGGAGTCTCTAAATCTGGCACAGCAATACATGCAAGCAAAATATACACATACAATAAAAATGAATAAAACTTCCAAAACAATGGAAATAAAATTGTAAAAACTGCATTTTAAAAATGTAAAAAAAATTATTTGTACCAAACATTTTATATAATGTTCTCTCAAGAAAGACTCTCAAGGAGATAGCTCTACTGAGAGCTATTTTCACACACAAAATAAACTTAAGACTGGGCACATTTTTCTGAGTATTGAGTTATTGTGTAAAATGTAGTATTGATTTTAGTCTAAGTATTCCTGTGGTTTGAGTGTTGAGAATAAAAAAGGAATATTTTTATGCTTTTAGTGTTTGGTGAAATTTTTTAAAGCTTGGAGAAATACTTCCTGCTGATTTAAAATTTTTTTCTATACTTGATTTTTAAATGAATTATTGATTCTCTTCTAAGATCCCAAATGATTTTTACTAAAATCATTTTGAAGGGCAGTATTGACTATGTCCTAGGATGCATAAATTGTGGCCTTTTCAAATTTGAAACCATATGTAGACTTTTCAGTTTTCAAAAATAAAAGAACATATTCCAGAAGCTTGACATGTGATTTCCTTTCCAAAGTCAACTGTATGAAACAGCTAAACCTTAAGGCACTCTGCTGTGTTTCCCAGAGGCAGTCAGAGCAATGACAAATGCAAGTGACAATCACAAAATACCACTGCAAGAGTCAGGCTCCTCACAATGCTCATCTTTCATTATGTCACTTACTGAAGTCTAAGGATAAAATATGTGATCATTCATCCGGATTTTTGGTATATTTATGATGTGTTCATTGGTATGCCACTTTGTTATTAGTGATTGGCTCACTAAACATATTCAAATAGCAAAGAAGCAGAACCTTATTTTCATTTAAGTTGGGACTGCCCTACTTGCACAAGGTTTAAAAAACTGTGTGTCACATGTAAGAACAACTTGAAAAGGCGGTCGGTCACCTTTATGCATAAATTTATAGTTAAAGCACATGGATCAGTTTTGCTGCATATATTATTCTGTAAAACATTTACTAATCTCCTTCTCTACATATGTGTTTATCGTGGCTTTTGCTTGTTTTCTTTTGCATGTGTATAATGAATGTGGCTCAGATTTCCTCCTTAGTGATTTTATTTATTTTAAATAATCACAAAGCATTAAAAAATCACAACAATTGTTAACAGAATTTTGTTGAATCCCAGTATACCGAAAACTTTGAAACAAGAGTTTGATGTGTGCTGCACACGAGGCTTCTCTTCTGGGAAAAGCTTGCACAGATCAAAGGTTCTCTTTGACAGGCAGGGATACAGAAGAAGCTGAAACATCTTTTCGACATGCTAGTTTTCTGATTTCCCCTACTTGAGAAAAGAAAAGAAAAAGGGTTTTGACCAGGCTGTAAGACTCTCTAAGAATAGAGAAAAGTTTCTCAAAAGCACTATAGTTTCTTTCCTGTGCCCTTCATACAAAGAGCCCCAGTACACACGGAGCTGTGTGACATGAGGCAAAGGAGAGATAGGCAGCTTTAACTTGGAATAATAGTTGACAGTCCGGAACTCTCTTTACAAACAGTCTAAAATTTCAGACAAATAACAATGGAGAAGAAAAACGCTTGCTTCTGGTGATTTGCCAAGTCTTGAGGCTTGAATTTGGATGAAAGTAACCAGTAAAGGAAAAACTGTAGAGAACTTTTGTTCTGTTCTTTTTTTTTTTCTTTGAAATAAAAACAAAACAGCTTAATTATAGATCTAATTGTTGGACCAGGCTGTTAAGGTTGGAATCTGGTATTACTGGATAGCTGCTGAGCTAGGTGATAAAATAAGGGCCTTACTTCTTCCCTTGGGTTCCCTCCTCCATGCCTGGGAAACCCCAGATCCTCTAAGGAGTGTCACATAGCCCTCAGGGAGATTACAGGCCTAACCCTTTCTTGATAAGAAACCTGTTCAATGGGCACCTGGGACTCCTGGAAATACCCTCCATGCTAATGAGATGTCTTGGTAACCTAGCTTTCAACTAATGACATTTTCCCATACCTCAAACAGTAGCTGGAGACTTATTCTACCCCCCCAACCCCAACCATAACCCCTAGAATAATTAAGCACTGTGTTCCACCTCTTATGATAGAACTGTGCTGCTGCGTGTGAATGAAGTATCCCTGGCACTCCTAGCCCTGTTAAATCAAACACATTCACTCCTCAAATCCCTCCCACTGCCCTAGGCTTATAAGTCTATGCTGGGAAGCCCACAGACCTAACATTGCTGAGGTGTATAGACAGCTCGCTTAGTGTTAATTATGTTAGTTAGCCAGTCACTTTGTAACAAGCTTGCCCTTGCTGAATGTCATCCAATTGTGTAACACCTAAGCTGGGAATTCCCAGTTCTTCCTCAAATCCCAATAAAAACCCTGCTGTGCAGCTGCTGGAGGCTCTTCTCTCTCATCCACTGCATTGGTGACTTTGGAGAGACTGAGCTTAAGCCAGAATAAAGCTCGTTGCTCTTGCATATGTGGTCTGGATCCTGGTAGTCTTTGGGGATCCTAAGATCTGGTCATAATAGGCCCTTGTTGGTACCTGGCTCAGGTTTCAGATCCTTGAGCTCCTTGCTGCCAACTGGCCTGGTGCTGGCAGTTCAGCTAAAAGAGCAGTCACAATTATTGCAGAAAAATCATTCCTCTTGAAACTCTGGCTGAACTGGAGATCTCCTGGCAAGTATCTTGGTTCTATGTTCCACCCTTCTCGCCCAGACACCCAGTGTTCCTGGGAGAGGTGAAACCTTTGACTCAGTGCTTCATCCTTTCTGCCCAGATGGAGATTGACCTTCCCAAGAGAGAAGTGCACATTTCCGGCTGGGTGGCATCTGGGCTTCCCAAGAAATATGGAAGAACAGCTAATGTAAATGCACTGGAGAACAATTACTACAGTAATTACTGCATTAGTACAGTATCCCAGTACCATTTGTGTTTATTATGAATTTTTGTTTCAAATGAAACACAGTATACTATAGTATATAATAAGCTATGTTCAACATGTGGATGGCTTACTTGAAAGCTCAGCCTGACTTTAGAAGAATTAGGAACCATTCAAAAATCATACTTAGTAGGGTGTATTCAGCTTTCATTGCTGTCATAGAGTTAATGAAAAGTGATGCAAAGCCTATTTGTTGTCCCAGAATGCAGAGTGAGAGAACCCTAATATCAAGGGGTCTGAGAGCTACATTTAAGTGTAACTTGAATCCTGAATTTTCAGCTTCATAAAAGATACTTTATTCATATTTCAAGAACCAAAAATATCCATATCAACATTACAAATATTAACTAAAAGAAAAACTGTAAGCTTCTTAATACTATGAGGAATATTTTTTGTACCATTAATAAACTTTATAAAAGAACTGAACATAATTGCTTCAAACATAATCATTATCTAAAGGACTATACTCAATGGCACATTAGTATTTGTGATGCATTTAACTATAACATATCTATCTTATTCATAGATGTTACTGTGCATTAGAATGTATGTATGAGTGAACTCAGTGACCGGCTCTTTGATCACCTCCCCATGGTGGAGTGCAGCCTTGCCAGGCCACAGAGGAAGATGATGTAGCCAACCTTGATAAGACCTGATAGGCTAGGGTCAGATAGAAGGGAAGGCTGGGGCTCCCTCCCTCATCTCTTCCCAATCCTACCCTCCCTATTCTACCCCTATGCCCCTCCTCTAGTCCATTGATAGGGGAAGTCCTCCTCTCTGTCTATCTGACTCTAGCATATCAGGTCTCATCAAGACTTAAATTGCTTCACATATTTTTGTCTTTACATATCACATGGCTCAATAAAACCACATAAAATAAACTTTAGTAAAGTACTGATATCCTACACCATAATTCAGTTTTTAAATAGAAAATAATGTCTTCTGAAACACGAAGAGGTTGATTTAAGTTCCCTATGAACAGTTAAGAGTACCTTTGTTGACTGCCCCTAGAGGTGTTGCAGGTGTGGCTGCCGTATCGTATGTGCCTTAGTATGTGGGAGAGAGGAGAAAGGCTATTTCTGTGCTCAGTGCTCTGACTGTGAACATCCGGATGATTAGCAGCCTAACACTCCCTAAAAAAAAAAAAGTGAGCCCGAGACGACCACCAGGTCAGCATCATGCAGGCCTGGGTTGGGGGGCAGACAATGCCCAAGATGGCCCTGTCTACTACCAAGATGCATGGGTGCAGCAAAGCACCTCTGAAACCACACCTGAGGTAACCCCAGAAACTCAGAGACCCCAAGAGCCACAGAGAGGAACAAGTCAGTGGTGGAGAAATGGAAGAGAAAAAGAAACAGAAGGATGCGGACAAAATGAAGAGAGGTAGAATTGGAGACTTGAGCATAGTGCAGAACAGCCTGCTCTCAGTAGCTGCCCAGTGATGACATCTGAAACCGTAATGGGGTCCCAGACTGTGCTGTCACCAGGAGCCATACCTGGGCCTGTGGCCCTGCAGCAGCAGGTATCAATTACCAAACACCAAGCAGAAATCCCTACCCTGGGCTTTTGCCCGGTGGCAGATTGATGTCTGAGGGCTATGCCAAACTGGCCCTACACATTGCCTTGGCAACTTAAGAAAGCTGGCCCTGGGGTCCTAAGAGCAAGAGAGCTGACTCCAGACCCCTAGTTAGCTGCAGTACTCTGGAGAACAGCCCCATACATTTTGCAGGAAGCAAAGTACTGGTTGCAGGAGTTTCAGGTAATCAGCCCAAGGATATGAACATGGAAAAGAACTTTGTCTCCTGTGCTGTGGCATAGATGAGGGAGAGATTCGACACTACTCCTTTCCCCCTTACCACCTGTGGCAGGCAGGAGATCTAGCCTTGGGGACATGAAAGCAGGAGAGCTGTCCCTGTCCCTCGCCAGCTTCAGCACTTTGGAGATTGGGCCCTTCACCTTGCTTAGGCAGCAAACTAGAGCTGACTCTGTTGGCAGGGACAAGGGTTAGCTGACAGTGGGGGAAGGGCATGAGCATGGGAGAGCCCGCCCCATCATTTGTCTTCTTTTTGGTGACATAGGGGAGGGAGAGATGACTCCTCCTGTTGCTCCTTGCCTCCTATAGCAGGCAGGTGAGCTGGCCCTGCTCCTCATCTATTGCAGCACTAAGGAGAGAAGGACATGCACCTCGGCTGGGCAGCATACCAGAGCCAGCCCTAGATATGGGTGTTGCATGTGAGCCAGCCCAGAGGACATGACTGTGGGAGAGCCTTCCTGCCTTTGCCTGCTGTATGGTGACATCAGTTAGGGAGAGATTCCCCTCCCCTCCCTTTCTTCCTGACCGCCTGTTGCAGGTGGGAGAGTTGGACCCACAGGGGTCATGAAAGCAGGAGAGCTGTCCCTGCCCTTTTCCTGCTGCAACACTCTGGAGAGAGGACCCCGTACCTTGCCTCGGCACTACAGCCTTGGCAGTTGGCATGGGGGTAGTGAGTGAGCTTGCTCCAAGGTTGTGAGCATGGGAGAATAGGCCCTGCTTCTTGTCTGCTGTGCCATAGGACAGATGAGGGAGAAATGCCCACCTTCCTCCCTCATCCTTCTCCACCTACAGTGGGTGGGAGAAATGGCCCTGTCCCCACCATCTGCAACATGCAGGAGAGTAGGCCTTGCACATCCTCTGGGCAGCAGGGTAGAGCTGGCCCTGGTTGTGTGGGTTACACGGGTTGTGGGTGAGTTGGCCCAGAGGGTGTGAGAGTGAGAGAGCTAGCCTAGCTTCTCACCTGCTGTAGCACTTGAGAGGGTAGGCCTTGAACCTTGGCTGGGTAACGTAGTAGAGGCTGTTCATGATGACATAGATGCAGATGAACCAGGCCCAAGGGCAAGAGAGTAGGAAAATCGGCTCTGCCCTTTGCTGGCTTGGGCGTTGGATGGGCCAGATGAGGCAGAGCAGGTTAGCGAGTCCCTGTGGTGTAGGCACAGGAGAGCTTGCAGGCTGACCAGTTCAGATACCTCACAGGCCCAGATCAAGGGTTTTGAATTAGTTTGCTCCAATATCTACCCCATCAATGAAATGCTGGAGTATGTGAAGGGGCCAGTGCTACACATCCAAAACTACAAGATTGTCATGGCACAGCGAACAAATGGGATATCTGACAGGATTCCCAGTGAAGTTCCAGTTTGGTAGTGTAGCAGAAGCTGGAGGCCTCGTACCAGACCAATGACTCACTGCAGTGAACATTTGCAAGCAAAGAAATGTGGACAAAAGGGTTTACTGAGGGTCACACTGTGACACACTGCAGCTTCCATGAGAATTTTTTCTTTCTATGTGTGTTTTGGGGAGGTGTGTTACAGGCATGGAGGGAGGGTATGAGGAGAGGAGGGGATTAGTAGGATTGGAGAACAAAATGTGAAATTCACGAAGAGCCAATAAAAAGTTTCTTTCTAAGAGCATCTTTGTTGGGTTGTTTATGAAGAGTATACACTGGTGACCAGTAAAAGCAGCAGCATGCAGTGCTGACCTTGGAGTCAGTCCTGTAATCTCACAGTAGGAGGAGCAGGAATTGCCTATTAATTCATTATTGTTTGTGTGTGTGAATTTTGGACTGGTGGGAACTCTAATTAGTCATAATTTAAAGAAAATAAGATGTAAGGTCTACTGGATTGAGTAAAGGCAAAGTAGGATCAATATTAGCTACATGAAGTTATAATCAGTTTTGTAGAGCCAGAGGCAAGTCAGCTTCTTGTGCAGCCTTATGTTGGGAAAATATGCTGACAAGGCAGAAGCAGGAAGACCAAGAATTGTGTCAGTTCAGAAGGAAACTTAAGTTTTTAGAGAGAGAATCATTTAAATGTAGGGGGAAGGAAATCCAGCACTTTTTTTTTTAATATACCAAAGAAACAATGTGATTTGCTACCAGGGAATGAAAACATGACTGATTGCCATGAGAAGCTTGGCCAAGGGCCGAGCATGATGCTGTCTTCTCAGAAAGCAAGAGGAACTGTGAAGCACCTACAGTGAATTTACAAAAGACGATTCAGAGGAGAGATTAGGGCCAGAGCTGAGAAAGAGTCCTCAGACCCAGATCACGGCTGTTGGATGTGCGAACCCCAGCAATACAGCAAGTAAACAGAAAGAACAGACAGGACACCTGTGGTTAGTGTTAAAGTTGAGCTCAGAGTCTGGAAGTGCCAGTGGGCTTTGGAAATTCATTCAATATTTCCAGCAAGCTAAAGAACTGAGCTAGAATGAAATAGGACATGAAACATGTAATGTATAATTGAACAGAAGGGGAAACAACAAAAAGTTTATGGTAGAAATGTTAAGTCAAAAAGAATTAAGAAAAATTCCGGGGGCCAAGTTCAGTCAGACACTAGTTATAACCTATACGTCTTGAGAATAAATATACCTATTCAAGATCAACAAGACAGAATTAAACAAGGTGCATTTTAGTATCCTTTTCATGAAAGAGATATGGTAAAAAAAATAACTCCTAGACCAGAGACACTGTTGGTAAGCTCTCGATTCATATCTATGGACAGAAATTCTTTCATTTCATACTATAGTCAGGTGTGGAGTCAACATGACACTCACACTGAGGTGAGGAAATCTCAAGCCAAGAGACAAATTAAAATATTTCTCACATACCAATGAAGAAATAACAAGCCGCAGTAGGAAACAACTCCTCCTCCAGAGTAGTCAAGGATTGGTAGCATCTGAGAGTCAGAGATTATAATGTAGGAAGGAAAAAAATAAATGGGAAGATAAAACAGATGGATAGACATCTACTACTCACCCAGTAGTCCCCTACAGAGAGAACTGACGTAACAGGAACATACCTGCCTTTGGAGGTTGCTAACCATGTGAGGTCACAGGAAACCAACAAGGGACCTTGGGAGATTTAGAGAATGGTGGCAGTCCCACAGAAAGAAAAACAATATACCTCGTTGCCTGTCCCACCAGCCTCACAGCTAGGGAATAAGGAAATGTCCCTTAGCAAGGGTAAAGGTAGAACACAGTCTCAGCAGATAAAACGTGAGGATATTATGTCCTAGCAAAATGGATGTTCGATTATACTAACTCTTGAAGTCTGTTTAAATAACCTTAAATTGGGACAGTAGCTTTGTGTGGTAAAGGGTCTCATCTTACTTTCCAGTGAATTCTAAAAAAATGTGGTCACAAGGCAGCTTAATAAGGGAACTATTGTGAATTTTGATTTCCCTTTGTAGTCTCATCTCTGGAACCCTAGAGACAGACACTCTGTTTCATGGAATCAAAGAAAACTATTCCTTATACCCAGTTTGAGAAACAGGCTGACCCTTTAAGACATGTGTGTTGTGAAATAGAGGAAAAGAGAAGGAACTGCATTTGAGAAACAGATCAATGAAATTGACCCCTGGACATGAGCCATGGGCAGACATGTGTGGTCCCATCATCAGCAGAAATATTTGCTTCTCCTCCCTGTTGTGTTACACTTGATACTTGTTCCAAGAGATCTAGCAGTTACTCCACTCTCAAAAGAATTCACCCTGAAGAGATTCCAATATAGAAAATCCAAAAAGAAGAAGAAGAAGAAGAAGAAGAAGAAGAAGAAGAAGAAGAAGAAGAAGAAGAAGAAGAA